CCCCAAAACCCCAAAACCCCAAAACCCCAAAACCCCAAAACCCCTCCAAAAAATTTATATTGATTCTAAACATTCTATTCCTTCTTGCCAAACAATTTCTCTTCAGTCCAGTCCATTGCCATATGCAGTTGTGGGTTCGAGTCAAGCTCAAATTGTTGTGCTAACACGACTGAAAACCCAATGAAGCCTCATAAGAAAAGAGTTCTCATGAAGAAGCCACGAGGGTGTAGAAAGCCTACAATTAGATTTTGGGGCTTACCTTTATGGATCTTCAGACTGTTATTATTTTTGACAACCACAACTCTTTCATCCTTCTGAAGATTAAAGTAAAATCCAAAATTTAGTAAATCATCCGGGATCAAAATTAGCCTGTTTTTCTCAAACATTTCCTCTGTACGGACTATGGGTTACCTAGGAAGGTTACTTAGACGCGCAAGCTGGTCTTCTTTCTGATTAGAGATTCCTAAATACAAACTTTCTTCTCCATAGCTGCTCCTGAGATGCTCAAATTGTCTGCTTAGGCTTGAATGCTGCATTTTAGGCCAATTATTCACTAGAGATAAGCTGTGATATACCGAGAACAATCTTCATAGTCTCTTTCTGGACATCCTTGATTGAAAACTGACATTCAGTGTGGTACTTATTTGTTATTTAAGATCATATTATGGATAGACTCAGGATCTAAAAATGATTTAACGATACTCACCATTCTGATACACCTCTTGCTCCTCAATAGGTATAAATAGCTCTCTATTCACAAATCAGATGTCATAATTGGTATAAAAATTACTTATATGTCTCTTTGCTCATGATTCCTGCTATCTGTCACTTATACAGCACATCGAGTCCTTTTCTGCGATAAATATTTGCAGATTTTGGTATGCTTGCAAATCCCCTCTCTATATGGCAAAATAGTCATGATTCCTTGAAGCTTGGCCTCAGATGTACAACCATGCTTACTGTTCAGCCCGGTTAGGTTATTTCTTAGCTTAAGAGACCCCTTCAGCATCATTTTCAATATTTCTTTATAATGTAGGGGTTTTGGGGTTTTGGGGTTTTGGGGG